GTGCTTGATTAAAAAGGTTCTGGGCGATTTCCAACTGGACACAGGCCAAGTGCTAACAACCAAACAGAACAAAAGAACTGGATGTTTGAGGATGACATACTCTCAATGGTAATTATATAACAGAAACCTAAGTCAAGAGCTGACTATGTACCCTTGAATTCATGGATGTTGACAGAAAATCCTTCTCAGTTCAATTGGTTGCACCTTATCTGTTTCTGCTTACTATGCCTCAAACAAGCTAATAAGAGTAGACTTGTTGTAAACTGGCTGTTCTGTATCTCATCAATGCGGTGTTATTGTGGACCAGACAAAAAAGAAAGCTAGGATTCTCCATATGCCAAGTGTATTGGTTTCGGCTATAATACCTTGCTGAGCAATATGTATATGTGTGTGTATACACACATACACACACACACACACGCACTATGGATATAGACATAGCTATATATCTGCACACACAGAAGGGTATAGAGAACAGACATATCTGTATATTTATCTGTATACACACATATACACACACACATACATATGTATTTATATGTGTGCGTGTGTGTACACACACACGCGCACTACAGATATAGGCATAGCTATATATCTGCATACACAGAAGGGTATAGAGAACAGACATATCCGTATATTTATCTGTACATACACACACACACACATACATATGTATGTATATATGTGTGCGTGTGTGTACACACACATGCACTATGGATATAGACATAGATGTATATATCTGCACACACAGAAGGGTATAGAGAACAGACATATTCTTATATTTATCTTTCGTATATAAATTGTACGGATTGAAATAAAAGCATCACTTCAATGCAACTATTCACATGTTTGTGTGTCTTTACAAGATTGATCCTTGAAGTCCTGGCATGGCCTGCCCTTACCAGAACTCTATTGATGCCAAAGCTGTGAAGAGGGTCATATTATATGCGACAGCACCAGTGGTAGCAGGCAAAGGAAGATGAGGGAATTTGTCTAGGAAGTAGCAGCACAAGAGGAAGGAGTAGTGAGCAGGAGATTCAACAGGATGCCTGGAAGACGTAGCAATGCCAAAGCCCCTGCCACTGCCAGCTCTTTCTCTGACTGTACCTGTACAGGCTCTGTCCAGGTGCAGCCACTGACTGCTGGCTTCCACCCAGGGCCCAGTCTGGCTTTGCAACCTTCATGCCCCTGGCAAGGACAGCCAGGGGGAGGAGTGCTTGCAGAGTGAGAGGTGCCTCTCGGTGGATTCTCTCAGGGATCAGGGAAGAGAGCTGCATATGGACTATTTATTCTCTGTGCCACAGGGGACAGGACTAGACACAATGGCCTCAAACTGCAGCAGAGAAAATATAGATTGGAGATTAGGGGGGAACTTTCTCACTATGAAGGTAGTCAAGCATTGGGACAGGCTGCCTAGAGAAGTTGTGGACTCTCCATCCCCAGAAATTTTCAAGAGCAGGTTAAATAGACCCTTGGCTGGGATGGTTTAGCTAGGGATGATCCTGCCTTGAGCAGGATTAGATGACCTCTTGAGGTCCTTTCCAGACCTAATTTCCTATGACTTTCCTATATATTTAAACGTTACAAAAAGTGGAAGTTCATATACAAAATACTTTGCTGGGAAACAATTTAGGTTAACACAGTCACATACCTGATACAAATCCACACAAGCAAGGAAATAGAAAGTTAAGCCACCTGTCAGTACATAGCTCTTATTTTTCCACCTAGAGGCACACATCTTGTTACTCTCACAACTGCCGTACACCAGAGGCCACATTCAAAAACCTTAATTCTGATCCAGCAAAGATGCCAGGCTCACACACCTCAACTCTGAAATGACTGTAACACGTTGAGAGCCTTGTCTATTAGGGCAAGAGTATAGCAGGGTGTAGTCAAAGCTTAACAAAAGCATGATGCAACATTTTCCCGCTGCATGGAAAAGGGGTCTTTTTAAACTGCAACAATACAGCACAGTAATAGAAAGGATAGGGGCAAAGGTGCTCCAATTCCCATCAAAGATCACATGCAGAACTGATAGAACGGATGAGATTCCCACCATCAGTGCAGTGAATGGGAAGTCTATGCTCAATTAAGTACGCATAAGCATTACAAAAATATTAAAGAATCACTGATTTCATCCAAAAAAATTGTTAGTTCAGAGATGCTACTAACAGGCAACAGCAAAAAATGGACAAATCTGCATATCATCTGAAAGAATTGATCCCATTGAGGGAAACGTTTGACCCCACTGGCTGTGTCCACATGAAAGCAGCCATGCAGTATGTGGTGCCGCAGACACATCTGCAATGCCACATACCATATATTCAGCTGTTCTCCACACTGCAAGGTAGCAACATAGGGTATTTTTTTGACCCTGGGGTCATAAAAAGTGTGTAAAAAAACCCCAGGGCAGTGCACGCGGGGGCAGAGTGCACCACCTAAAACTGGAGCCTGTTTGGCTGGAGCCATACTCTGGCTGCCAACGGCAGGATCAACCCTGCTGCAGCCCTGGACATCCCTAGGACTCCAGGTAAGGCTTTTGGGGCCAACTCAGTGCTGGCCCCAGCCTCCCCTACCCCCACCACTCCAGGGTAACCTGGCACATGCCAGAGGGCACATGGCACAGGTGTTCCCCGTGGACAAGTAGCAGCAGTGTGCCACCGCTTTTTGTCCCTGGGGAAATGAATGTCCACACTCATGTGGACACGGCCACTGAGATCAACATTCACAGGGCACATTGGAATGGGTGGCAGAGGCTAGAAAGCTCATGCGGGCAGAGGTAAGATTGTGGTGTAGTGATGAATGATGCCAGCATAAACAGGATTTTGTCAGGATATCCAGTACCCCTGGTGCCATGGGTATCACAGAATCAGAGTCCTATCCAATAAAACCATGATATCTTTGATATTGTTCTATTAAAACAGGATAGCAGGATCCACCAATATTTATTTGAATCATGCCATCTACCCAGGACTACTTGTTAGTACCACTGTTTTTTTCCCCTCACCCATGAGCTGTTGCACTTCCATTACGCTTATTTTTTTGCCTCGGGTATATATGCAAAGCCATCCCCGTAGTGGGATGGTGGGAACTGTGCATGCAGATCTCAGGGCAGAAATTGGCCGTGTACATTAAGTCACGCAGTGGATCGCCTCCTCACCAATAACCCTCCCAAAGCCCTATGGAAATGCTTGGAAGCTGCCTTAACAATTTCTCTGTTGCAAAAGGGAAAAAGTGATAGTAACGGCTTAGCTGATCTTCATTTGGAAGCTAAAAATAAAAGTAGCTTTATTGCAGCTCTGATCTGTCATGTGTAAAATCCATCACCTACCATAAGAAGGCAGTTCATTCCAGCAGAAATCTGATTGATAGTACTGGAACTTCAGATCAAGCAGCAGAACAGAGAGCAACTGGTTCATAAAATGTACTCAGTGTCTTCGAGTTTTATATCAGGCTTCCTATAGAGAGCTTTGGTCCCATTAAATGCACTATATACCACTGAGCTCTGAAGCACTGTTCTTTTGAAATTCAGCTTATAACTATAAACCATGATTGACAAGTCTATTACTGTTGGTTACAAACTATTGAAATATTGTATTTTATGGTATACTCGCCAAAATATTTTTCACTGTGGAATCCAAACACACTTGCTTTAGGAGAAAAAAAACATTTTAAGATGCAATAATATTTTTTATGTTTTACTAGAGAAGGTGTTGGATGTACACTTTGCATCACTTAAGAGGTTCTGGAACATGAATTTCTCCTGCTGGTATCAGGATCAGTGGACCTGGTTGACTAGGTTATTTTTAACAACATCAGATGATCGTTACCAGAAATAGGAGTAAGAAAAAGGAAGAACTAATTTTGGAAGCGTATCTTACTCATGTGAGCCAATTTGTTAGCATTAGCAACACTTTCTAATTCCCATTAAAATGTAAAGGGTGACATGTTTTTGGAACTTTTCCATACATCCAAAAGACTTATCCAATTAAATTGAGAGAGGCAGTGTTTGAGCCCCCTATTACAAAACCCTATTCAAGCAAGAAACTTTAGTCATGTAGAGCAGCTCCATGATTCAATTTCCAGAGGGTTGGCGCTGGTAATGGGTACAATGGAGTACAGCACTTAAAGTCCAGTCTTAGCTTGGCCAATGATTTATCACCAGACCTTGGGCAAGTTACTTGACTCCACTGAAGCCGTGTCCATACAAAAAGTTGCCCTGGTTTACATGAACCAATTAAAAACCTTTAGGTAGACACTTTTAAGTTTATATAACCTGACTTATATTGATTTAAGTTACCAAGTTTAACTGACTTGGCTAGATGTCATTTGGGAGAGAGACAGAGGGTTATGCAGATTGTATTTAGATCAGTGAAACTTTGCATGGTACAATTTTAACAAGACAGCAATAGTTAAAAATGATACAACTCTGATTTAAAATCAGACCCAGGCCTCAGCTTTTTTGAACACATTAAAAAATTCATATGTGAAACAACAACTGTAATAGCATTCATCATTTTCTTGAAGTCCTTGACTGCCAATTGTTCCAGACTGTACAGAATGCAAGATCTAGTCTTTCAATGCCAGGTTAGACAAGTCTTTCACATGCATTTTACTTTCCTTTATTAAATAAATGTTAACATCTTCCATCATCATCTGTTTATTAGACTGCATTTTTACGGTAAGAAGCTTATATCTGATGAGAGAAACATGACTGATTTCCTTCTGGCAAGCTGTACAAATAAAACTGGTGTTATTTTTGCTTAGTAAAAGCTCATCTTTTGTACATACCTCTGTTAGTTAATGCATTAAAGAGGAAACAGTAATAAGTACTGATGACACAAAACTGGTTTATGGCTAATTTTTAAACTCTGCTGAGAACACCACAATACCAGAGCAAGATGATGGAGTGAGCTAGTCTCAGGTCCCTTAGGAGATGGAGGCTTATTCCTTAATATACATTGAAAAGAAAATTTAAAGTTGGGAGCGCCAATACTTACGACTTCTGTGGCACTGATTTGGTTGCCACCTTTCCTGCTGGCTCATTCCACTCTGCAAACAAAGGAAACACATTTCCAAATGTCAAAAGATTACAGTAAAAATAAAAATGTGCCCAAAGCTTTTCAGCCCATCTAATTATACTTGGTTTCCCAACATGCCACAATGCATAATGTGTAATAAAAAAAAAATGGAACTGATCTGCATTAGCATCACAGAAATTAATTTTTTCATCCTTTGTTTTAATGATGTTAAGTAGTTTAAAAAAAAAAAAAAAAAAAAGGCTGACTGTTCAGACTAAGGACAATAAAGACTTACTTTGTACATTGTATCCTGAGGTCAGATGCTGGGAATCCTACAACAAAAACACACAAGATGTCAGCATTAGTTAAATGAGTTGAAGAGGAAGGTGGATGCATCTCTCCTTGTTAGACTAAAGGCACTAGCATTACATAAACAAGCAGGGGATCACACGGGAGCATGCATCTTTTGAGATGACAACACTGGCATTAGCCTAAAGCCCACATTACCTATACAGAAGGAAAGCCACTGCTGGGGCATTTTCACTGCTCAGTTCAGAGCCTACTTTAGGGCCAGAGGGACAGATCCTCAGCTGGTGTAAATTAACTTGGTCCCATTGTGGAGTCACCATGCTGATTGACACCAGCTGATGATGTGGCTTTTTAGTCTTGCCCATAGATGTGTGCATGTGGTTTCCATTTAAGATAATGGGATGCATTTGAATGGGTAGAACATGGCCCTTAGAATTAACAGAATTTTTAGCATCCTTACTTTTTGCCTTTTCCCCCCCACTTTTTGTCTCATTTCTTTCGGACTGTGCTTGCTTAAAGATGTCATTAGCCAACACCGATCCTCCAGATCTTGTCAGTCACGACTGGCAAAGACACAGGAGCTGGATTTTCAATCGGTGTAAACTGGTGTCGCTCATATGCAGGCAACAGAATCGCACCAGTTTCAGACCGGCCCACGGTCCTTTGCTAACAAAAGACTTCTTGTTCACTTGCAATAACTTCAAGCTGCATTCCTGATTTTCCTTGCTTGATGCTTCCCTTGGTTTTTCAATCCACAGTAAGATATAACCTGATGCCAACTCAGCCTTCATCCCAAGCAGAACCTAATAGATTTTGATATTTTTAAATTAAGGTATTATTTACAAGCCAGTCCCCCAGCCAGGTCTTACTTTGTTAAAAGCATTAGAAGCTGTAGGATGTTAAAGTCATTAAAACCCTCCCTATACTTCCTCTTAGGGCATTATTAGTTCTTAATATTGTGCTGCACAGCTAGTCAGTCCCTTGTGAAGTAAATCATGCCTTAAGAGTAAACATGGCACTTTACATGCGAATGTCAGAGGGATAAATTGTTGTGATAAGATCCTTCTTTTCTATTGAATTATTTCAGATATTTTTCCTGTGGGGATACTTACATTTTTTATGCAAGATGAGGACCTATAATAAGGCCTGCCTTAGGTTTATAGGGCTGCATAGTCCTCATGTTGTGTCTAAAACTATAATTGATTTAGTGGACTGTTCTGAGTAGGGACTCTGCTGCTATATTTTTTACAGTAAAACTAACTAACCCAGAGACATTTATGTGCTCACCTATATCCTAAAGTATAATTTTTAAAAACCTAATTTATAGTTCATATTAAAGCGATATGGTCAAGAATTTTAGATCCAACATTCAACCTGCCTAAAAATGATTAGACTGGATGTAGACTTTAATTTTTCTTTTTAATCTACCATAACCTCAAAGAGGAATTACAAAAATAAAAAAGGGAAACAAATCTCTAGTAACCCTGGGCCTGCCATTACATTTCTGTCACTGAAGCTACTGAAGGTGTGCAGTACATGAGACAGTTTTTGCAGGACCTATTAAAACACATGCATTAAATTTAGTACTGTTGCAAATTAAAAAGATACAACTTCCCATAGGCCTAAATTATCCCGTTACCGGCATAGACAAGTGTGTGAAATGGTACAACCAAACTGCATTAACTGGAGAGGAATGAAGGCTATACTGAGTAATCGTAGAGTTTAACAGCAGTATAAATTAATACAATATTTTGCATAGTTAGGAGCTATACCCACATATGAAACTGTCTGAAGACCTTAGTGCCTCGGCACTGAATTTGTGTTGGCGCTGTCACTACGAAACCACGAGCAAAGAGGTTTTGTTAGGCTTTGTTTTACACTTTGACTTGTCTTGTTAAAGACCAATAGTCATACTCATTTCACGCGAGCTGCAGTCGAAGTAGGGGGAAGGTGTCTAGGGGCGCGCAACTACTAGCCAAATTATTAGAATGGATACACGACTGTTTGAGCAAAAGGGGCAGTTTCTATTAGATTCAAGGCAGCAGAGCTTTTAGAAACGTCTTTGCTTAGTCCAGCCCCAGGGAGAAGACTAAAGCCCCATGTTGTAATAATGTAATTTCCTGCCCTAGGAAAGCTCGACTCCAAGCACCAGTGGCCCACAACAGCTTAAATCCTAGCATCATCACTTCAGTGACTACTTCTTCTTCTTCTCCTCGTGTCCTGTCTGAGGTTGTTGATGACAGGTATTTAGCAAAATTCACAGATTCGTCACAATCTGACAAGGCCACGACGGGAGCGCTTCTGCTATGGCCATTAAGGCAGCTGAAACTTCAGTGACATCAAGTGATTTACAGGTGCTGAATTTGGGACGTCTGGATCTGCATGCGTTACCTTGATGCTTCTCGAATTGATGGACTGGGTGTTTTGGCTGGAAGGCATTTCAGCCACTACAAGGAGATCAAATCTCATTTGGCCAGTATCTTCCATATACACATATGAATCAAATGGATGTCATTTGTTGGACAATGACAGTTATGCAAATCTAAATATAATTCCCCTTTCTCTAAATAAGTTCTGCAGGTCTGGAGAGCAGCCCTGTCCCTGTCCGCCACAATGGGTTGACCTGGAGTTTGCAACTCCAGCAAAGAGAAATAAAAGCTCCAGAGAAGAGCACTCCAGCAGAGGAGAAGGAAGATCAGGTTGCTGCTGATAACCTACCTGTACCTTGCTCGGGATGGAAAACTTGGTCTGCTCAGCCTTGCCAGGTGTGTGAATAGCGGTTAGAGGAGGAGGCCAGGAATGGGTCATCTCCTAGGGAAGGAAAAACGTTGGAGACCTCATTCATTTAAAAGTGAGACAGAAAGAAAATTACCCCGTGCAACCTTGCACCCCTCTATAAAGGCAACTTCCCAGATCTGTTTTGAGACGGCAAGGAACAGGCCTCCTTCAACGGCATCACTATGTCTTATCTGGTGGATAAACTCCCTAATTACACATTGGGCAACATCCTCTCAGGCAGCAATGACAATGTGCTTCAACCAATGAGCCCTGCAGGTGCTCATTTCAGCCTTGTCCAATGCTGAGGTTGGATGGCATCCAGCAGGCCTCCAGGGTGCTCTGCTCCCATGGCCAGGCTGCCCATTTATCATGTGATGGTTCCCATCCCCACGATGCTGGGACGCCTTGCAATTTCCAGTGCATATATATTCACAACGCCTGCACAAGGTGGGAAGGACTGCTCTCCCTGCTGTCTGAATGGGAAACCAAAGTCTAAAAAGACTAAGTGTCTTAAGGAAGCCAGTGCCTTGGAGGGGAATTGAACTCATGTCTCTCACCGAGAGCACAACTATTAGGCAACCCTTCCTCTCTAAGCAGAAAAAAACCCCCAAAACTGTGTGCTACATTTTTATCATGTTCAAAATACCCGCAAAGGAAATCTCTCTGGGGCTCACTAGCACAGGCCGTAAAACAAAAAAGAGCATGTGTTTGTTTTTAAACACCAAAAGCCCGATACCGAAGGCAATGATACGTCTTTCTACTGACTTCATTGAGTGCAAGTTTTGGCCCAAGCTCAGAAAATTAAAATTAAGCCAGACACAGATACTGCAGAAAGTGTTGTTTTAGGCAAAGCTTGTAAATGCTCTTGTAATGACTGTATTTCATGGTAGATGCTGCTCCAGTCTCTCTTATCTTTGTTTTTAATTCGATGAATATTCAGACAGGCAGGAACACATGTCTCTGGCGATCTGTTACATCTTTGTCTCGGTTGTTTTTCTTTACATACAAAGCTCGGTAGGAAGTCTTTGATGAGATAAGAAAAACAAAGAGAAAAGGAGGGTCTAATTTATTAAGTTTTGCATGCCAAGGTGCTGGCTGCGTTAGACCAGTGAGGGTACTCTGCCCAAAGGCCAAGACCGAGCATAGCAAATCTTGCAAACTGCAGCCTGAGCTGATACTCTGCAAGTTAAAAAGACGCAGTCCTTGTCCAAAGGTTAAAGATCTGAACCGCTGACAAGAAGCAGTTGGGGGGGAAGATGGGGGCATTGGTAAAGCCCAGTAAAACAGTGGTTGCAATCAGTGGCAGATACTTTCATTGTGGAAGGAATCTGTAAAGTTTCACTTCTCTGATTATCCCCCCACAGATGACACATCATGCAGCAGAGAGGTTAAGATGAAGTAAGTCATCTGATGAAGTGAACTCGAGCCTATTCCCTTTGGACTGGTAAGGAAGCCATGGAAACCAACTACAAATGCCAACCCCAGGGTTAGGCACTTCCCAATGGTCAGGTAACAAGTGACATTCTCCATTCACCATGGTGAACTGCTGCCCATCCAATTAGCCATGACCCTGTAATGGTTTATACATCTGCTTAGCTATGGTCATAAGCAGTCCCAACTCAGTCGGACTGCTCATGGGAGTAGAGTCAAGCAAATGCATCTTTGCAAAATAAGGGTCTCGGAGGAAAGAACATCCCTCGCTGATGCATCACCACGTGACAATGCTTCATGATACTTTGCATTCCCTTGGAGGTTCCCCCGCCCCAATACTTCGTTTGACATAAAACACAGTCTGAAAGGACCTGACTACCCAGAATAATGTATCTGCATAGCACGTGTGTTCATGTTGAGGTAAGAGCTAACTGTCCATGTCAACAATATACGCCCTTGTGGGAAGTAGACAGGGAACTGCACTATTTTTTTTTCCAGGGGAAGTTAAAAAAAAGTAATAAATCCAAATTTGGAAGCATTTAGAAATTCCTGGAAGTAACGATAATAAAACTGAGCATATGAAATGTTTTAAAGTGGAATTTAATGGAAACAAAGTAAGCCCACAAAATCAAGTTAGGATTTATTTTCACATGGTTTGGACTTCGAATAATTCCAAAATCATGTTAACTGATGGACTGGGCATATGACGGCTATGGTAAGTATGCATATTTTTTTATAGACCTGAAAATTAAATCGGAACATAAACCTGCCCAGCTTGTTGGCTTAGAAGTCACTGTGGTCCACTGATGTAGTAACATCAAGCGTCCTCCTTTCTGAAAATGATTTAAACATTGTTTTAATTGACTCCATGTGTTTTATTTATTAGGGCTAGGCACGCTCATTTCTTCAGCTTGGTCTGCCTTTTTTTCTAGCTGTAAAAGCCCCCAGGTAAGTAACTAAGAAGCACACATGCAGAAGAAGCCTAATGAAACACCAGGAACATAGCTTTTCTGACCAAATTGTTTAAAAACTGCGGAGATACAGGCCAAATCTGGGTATCAGTGGAAAAGAGAAAATTGTAGAAAGCTTGCAGTCTGAAGCACGGCAGAAAGGGGCAGATGGTAAAACAGCTTGCCAGAACCAGCCCCTCCTAGTAAGGTCCGCTTTCAAGGTGCATTTCCGTATTTCAATTTTTCCCTGATTTCTGCCTTGTTCAAAAGCGTGTGTGTGTGTGTGTGTATGTGTGTGTTTTAATTCAAGCAAGAATGCTGATCAAGCACTGCAGAAACTGCGACGGAAAAAATGCTGCTATGTCATCTAGTCTCTGTCCCTGCCGAGGCAGCTTCCCTCTCTGCAATGCATTTTACAGCACCTTCTGCAATCGAACTGTAAATTTCCCAAAGCTGCGGGGTTTCTTAACATCCCATGGGAACGACTTCCATGGCAAAACCGTGGGCCAAATGCTCCTCTGCCGCATGAATGGCAGATCTACAGAACAGCAGACTGGGAAAGCAGCAATTTGGTCTCCCCCGCCAGGCCCCAGCCAAGAGCTGATGAAAGCTCTGCTTCTGCCATTCCATGCAGTGCCTGGCCCACGGCTAATTTAGGAGGAGGTAGGAGACGGTGCTCTGTGCAGCATGATCCCTGTGATAAAGCTACTCTGGGATTACTGCTGCAGAAGGGTTGTGGCAGCTGCTGGGAGATGCTGCGTGTCCAACTTTCCTCACACAACGGTCCCTTTAGCTCCTTTGCGCAGAGACATCCCGAGCAGGTTCTGTTCCTAGCCAGGCTGGGGACGGCAGCTGTCATTCTTGTGCCCTCTCCAAGTTGGTACCCAAGGTTGGTACCCATCCAAGGCTATGCTATTGCCTTCATGCAACCTGTTGTTATAAATTTCCTTTGATTTCTTGGTCACACTTCAGATGAAGATTACAGTTTATAATAAAGGGGGGTTAAAAGGGTTAATAAAAGATGACTAGAGCATACTCTAGACCTGAAGAGTCTGCCTTAATAGACCACTAGAACACACTAACAACTTCTTCTAATGCAGGGGTGGGCAAAAGGAGGCCCGCCAGGCCGTTCTATCCAGCCCATGGGGCCCCTAAACATTTTAGAAAATTAATATTTAGCTGCCTCTGGCTACCTGTGACGTGGCCCTCGATGGCTTGCCAAAATTTAGTAAGCGGCCCTCTACCCCAAATAATTGCCCACCTCTGTTCTAAAGTCTATTAATTGACTTCCAGGTCCCTTCCAGCCCTAATTTTGTACAATTCTATGACTTTTTGGACTCTTGTCACAATTGATCCACCATTTTTGAGGACAATGAACAATGCGTTTTAACCCTTTCCATCACAGGAAAAAATATGACTTGTTTCTCTGCATTTTTCTGGTTTTGGCATTTGCACAGAGCTGCTCATCTTCTCTTTTCTGGGAAGCCAGTCAGTTTAGTAACACATGAAGGGCAGCTAAATTCTGTGTGTGCTATGCATGCTGAACTCAAAAAGCATCTCAGCCAGCCTTATCTAGAAGGAAAAGGCTACTGCAGGGATAAAAAGCAATGCATCCTGGAGTGCAAAACTAATAGAAACGCACAGAAATAAAGGGGTTTTAAAATTATTCATGCAAAATATTCCATATGAAATTAACAGGCAACTAGCTGGTGTGAGTGCTCAGGTATATCCCCTTATGTGTTAGAGCAGGGGCAGGCAATTATATCAGGCGGAGGGCCGCTTACTGAGTTTTGGCAAGCCATCGAGGGCCGCATGACAGGCAGCCGGGGGCAGATAAATATTAATTTTCTAGATTTTTAGGAGCCCTGCGGGCTGGATAGAATGGCCTGGCGGGCCACATCCAGCCCACGGGCCACATTTTGCCCACCCCTGTGTTAGAGACATGATCAATAAAGTTCAGAGCTATGCACTGGGTTATGCTGTTCCTATCTCTTAAGGGAGTCCTAGCAAGAGGGGACATAACAGCTAACAGAATAACCGTAGCGATAGCCTAACAGGGAAAACCAGATTCCTCCATAAAGGCACTAACACAGAAAACAGCTTACTTATGCAAATGCTTCATCAAATTTAAGCATTGCTGGCATCTGACTGGCCCACATTATAAGTAAGAGGAACACGGCTGCATTTACAACGATGCCTTCGTCATCCTAGGGAAGAATTTATATTGTAACCGTAACAAAATCTTCTCAAACAAAATGAAGGATAAATCCAAAATACAGAGTACACAACCCCAAACTTCTTGTTCAAAAGTCTGGATTTTATGCTATAAATAAGAGCAACCCTGGCCATTATATATATACACACACACACACACACACACACACGCGCGCGCACGCGCACACACACACACACACACAGAGCCAGAGCCAAAGCATTCACCTTGTGGTTTTTCTCCGTGACAACAAATAAGTTCCCCTGGCTTAGTTGGTGAACGGGATGCGTTCCATATCCTCCCATACTAATTGGCTTGCTTTACCTTTCCATATTTGCAGAGCAAAAAGGACTGACAAAAATGCATATTCAGTGAAAATGAATATAGAAATTGTTTTAGAAGCTAACAGGGGTTGGCTATAAACATTACAGCATATGTTT